TGGGGACAGGGGAAGAATTCATGAATTCTGGATTTTTCAAAACTACTGAGTGCCAGAGGCTAGGAGGCAGTGGAGGGTGAGGAACAGGTATTCCTGGGGCTACTTGGCTGCCGGGGATTTATCATGCAGAGATGACATGCAGAGTGCCTGGAGGGCCAGGCTTGTTGAAGAGGACCTGGGCCACTGGATTTTTACCAAGCTCTCTGGGTGAATCTGATACTCCCCCAAAGTGTGATACCCTCACAGTAGCTATCGTGTATCTGAGCCAAGGCAGGGAGCCAAGGGTGCCTCCTCTGAGAAGCCTTCCTAGGCTCGCTCCTCCTCCAGGAGCAGTTCCACAGCCTGAGGCATCAACTGAGTACCCTTGGTTTTCCTGGGCTTCAGGTTTGGGGGGATTGTCTCAGGGTTGGCCAGCTTCAAGCTAGGGATGGGACAGGACCTACCCCTCAGACCTGTGGGATCTCGGGGACGGTGGGGGGATGGGGGTGGGGAGACAAACAGAGTAGAGGGGTGTTTCCGCTTTAGGTTGTTGTGTTTCTCCTATAGTATCCAAAGTCACATGCTGTCCCCTTCCTGCATGAGGTGAACTTCCTCCACAGATCCATTTCTGGCCTTCATGAGAAAGTTGCATCCCTCCTGGGAGCATAAGCCTTCCTCTCTCTCCTGCCCACTGATGACCCTGGCCTTACCCAGCAGAAGCACCTTCCCCTACCTGCCCTAGGTTACTCCACTGGGAGGGCCATTTATATTCCTGGGGACTGCCAATGAAGGGCACCATGCCAGCTCAGATGGCCACAGGAAGGTGGAAGAGGCTGGAATAGGCCATTGTAGTTTAAATCCTGAAGCTTGGGAAGGGTTAACTCCTGAAATCAAAGGGCTTTAGGGCCTCTCCTGCATGTCACACACAATCCAAGATGCTCCCCTGAGCGGGAGGGTACAGGCTGTGCCAGTTACTGAGCCCTTTGTTGAATCTCAGCTTCAAATCCTCCTTGTGAAGTAGGCTTTGTGCTACAGGGACAGAGCCACAGTTGGTCCATGGGGAGCTGTGCACAGTGAGCTCTGCCCTGGCAGGGGGTTCTCCCTGGGAATCTGTCACCTTCCTTCAGGTCTCCTGTGGGAGGTGGGAAAAAAGCCAAGAACCCCCAGCTTAGTCATGATCCTGGAACGTTCTCTTCTCTCCTGGGTTCTGGTGCTGCTGTGATCCTCCGGGCGTCTCTCTGACCTTCTCTCTGCTTGTCCCCACCAACCTCAAGGGGTATTGTCTAAGTTCAACTATGATTTCTTACTTTTTTAATTTTTAAAATTTATTTAGAGAGCAAACTCAGATTTGCAGTACAAAATACACTTAAGTAAAAACAACCTTTTCATCTTTTAAGGTAATTATAGATTCACAGGACTTGCAAAAGTAGGACAGAGAGGTCTGGTGTATCCTTCACCCAGTTTCTCCCAAGAGTTGTATTTATGTAAGTGTGGTTCAGTACCAAAACCAAGGAGACTGACATTAGTACCAGGAGTGTGTGTGGAGGGTCTGTGCCGTTTTATCACCCATGTGGATTCTCAAATGTGCTTTCACGTGGCTCTGGCCCCAGCTTTGGTTTGGCTTCCTGAAGACTCCAGGGAGGGGGTCTCACTACGATTCCCACTCCTGTACTCCTAAAGCCTGGCTTTGGTGTAGTATGTAGATGTCCTTCCCGCGGGGCCTAGCAGGGCTGGGGGGTGGCCTGGAGCAGGCCCACGTGGACTCTGAATGGTGAAAAATGGCATTTTGCCATCAGGGTGATGGTGTGTGCCCTGCTGGGGGATGAGTGTTGGAGGGAGCCTGGTTTGCTGGGAGCTTTGGAGGTTGAGAAGGTGTTAGCCAAGGTTCTCACAGGGAGACGAGGGCCGGGCTGAGAGCTGTCCTGAATCCTGAATGATGCTCCCAACATCATCCAATTGTTGCCCCAGCCCACACCAGGTTCCCATAGGTGTTGGGGGACACAGTGGTAAGACCCAGGTCCAGTTCCCCAGGGGACAGATTCAAGTGGGAAAGAGACATACATGAATGACATCAAAATAATAAAAAATCTTGGTTATTGTAGCTGACCCTGTCTGCTCACTGTGTTCTTTATGGGAATGCTGTGATTAGACACCTTCCTGTGAGGGCAAAGCTCTGTTACCCTCACTTCACAGATGAGGAAACACTGGCCTGGGAGGTGAAGCTACTTGTCCAAGCCTGTACAACTGGTAGGTGGCTGACTGGGACCAGGGCAGGCAGAATGTGACAAGGGCACAGTCCAGGGTAGAGTGAAGGTTCTGAGAGCTTGGGGTAGGGAGTGCAAGGCGGGGACACGGGCAGTGTCTGGAGACATTTTTGCCTATCAAGGCTGGGGCATGTGTGTGTATAGGCCAGGGATGCTGTTAACCATCTTACAGTGCACAGCTCCTGAAACAAAATGTCCTTGGTCCCAAATGTTAATCTTGCAGACCTGAGAGACCCTGGGAGAGTCTCTGTAAGAGATGCTGCCAGGACAGGGTAGTTGGCCAGGCTAAGAAGCAGGAAGGTGGTTTCAGACAGAGCAGAGGTATGGACAAAGGCCATGGGAAAGAGACAGAGAAATCTGGGGTCCCTAGACTCTAATCGGGGGCCCTTGAGAAGGGGGACAAGGAGGCCCATGCCAGGCAGAGAGCTGGGTCTTTGTCCTGTGGCCAAAGGTTGTTGTTTAAGTCAATAGTTTTCAAAACTAACTTGGTTTTTGGCCAGGCCTGTTGGCTTGTGCCTATAATCTTAGCAGTCTGGGAAGCTGAGGTGGGAGGATCCCTTGAGCTCAGGAGTTTGAGACCAGCCTGAGCAAGAGCGAGACCTTGTCTCTACTAAAAGTAGAAAAATTAGCTGGACGTCATGGCAGGTGCCTGTAGTCCCAGCTAATTGGGTGGCTGAGGCAGGAGGATGGTCTGAACCCAGGAGTTTGAGGTTGCTGTGAGCTAAGCCGAAGCCATGACACTCTAGCCTGGGTAACAGAGTGAGACTCTGTCTCAACATCCTCTTCCAAAAAACCCTCCAAACAAACCCCCTCTCCAAGCCCCCTCCAAATGAACTTTGACTAGGTACTGTGTGTACATAATTCAGAATCCAAAAGTATAGGGAGAGCCTCTCCCTGTCTCTTTCTGCAGCTGCCCCATTTTCCTCCTGGCAGAGGATGCACAGAGGTTATCAGTCTCTTCTGTGTCCTTCTCTAGTATTTTCCTTTCTTTTTTTAAGTAAATAGTACACTGCAGGATTTTAAATGCAATCATAAAATTATGACGCAATCAAAGTCGGGTGTTAACTAGGTCACCCTATTGAATTTGGAGTAAATGAACAGGAGATGGGTCATGGCTGTTGATCTGGACTGGCTGAGAGATGGTGAGGACAGAAGGGCAAGGAGGGGGGCAGGGGAAGGGTGTGGGTGCAGGTCATCTGGGTGGGATCTGGGGAGGAGGAAGGGAGGAGGAGTAGGAAGTTCATGACAGGAGTGGGGAACCTGTGACCTTAGAACCACATGTGGTGGCTCGGCACCTGTGGCTCAAGTGGCTAAAGCGCCAGCCACATACACCTAAGGTGGCGGGTTTGAATCCAGCCCCGGCCCGCCAAACAACAATGATGGCTGCAACCAAAAAACAGCCGGGCGTTGTGGCAGGCGCCTGTGGTCCCAGCTACTTGGGAGGGAGAGGCAGGAGACTTGCTTGAGCCCAGGAGTTGGAGGTTGCTGTGAGCT